ACACACACACACACATAAGCACAAGACAATGTGAAACATGCTCCTTGCCTGGGAAATGCTGTCTCCACATTCTTCAAATCAGGAGCTGCACATGGCAGAGGAAATGTAGTGGAGAGGGAGGAAAAAAAAAAGTGGGGTTGAGGGGATTCTCACACAGTATGCCCTGGGGTTATCCTCTCCTCTCTACCTCCTCCTCCAGCCTCCCTCCCGTCTTCTCTTGCTCTCCCACAGCTTGTTTCCAAATCTGTCCTCCTTCGTCACCTCACCCCCAGAACCTCCATTTCTCTTTTTCAGACGACTGGTACTCTTGAGGGGTATGGAGGGGGGAGAGAGGAGGAGGAATGGAAGGTGGCACAGGAGGGCAGTGGGTGAGGGGGGGAAGGACGGAGGAGAGCGAGAACTACGATCGTCACCCCCCGTGTGGTTAAAGCCTTCAACTCCTTTAATCTCCAAAGAGGGGGAGGAAAGAAAAAACCAAAAAAAAAAAAAAACTGGAACTCGTTTTCAGCCAGCAATCAGCACTACTTTGAGCTCTCCTCTTTCCGCCTCTTCAGCCAGATCATTTGTATCTTTTCTCCTCAGCCTCCTCTTCCCTGCTCCGTCACCCTCTTCTCTCCCTTCACGGCAGGTTTGGGCTATTCATTCAGACGTCAGGCTCACTCCGTCAGCCTTTTGTTGCGAGTCACAGAAAGACAGAGAGAGAGAGAGAGGAAGGGGTGGGGGGAGAAAAATGGAAAAGACCAAAAAAGACAAGCCGGTACCACAGCTATGCGGAGAAAAGAAACGAGGGAGGTAAATAAAAGAGACGCACTAGAGAGGGGGGGAGAAAAAAAATCCTTGAAGAGCACTAGTCACAGCGAGAGGTGCAGCGGTCCTGGCACACGTACGACTCCTTCTTCCATTCTCTCCGACCTTCCCCTTTCGCTCAACATATTTTCCTTCCCTCTTTTTTTTCCCTCCCCTCCCTCCTTCCCTCCCTCCCTGCCTTTCTGTTTTATTATTTGTGATCTGGCCCTCAACGGTCTATGAGTGCCAGCCCCTTTCTCTTCCCACCCCCCTTTTTCTCAGTCTCACTCCCTCTTGCTCACAAACTCTCCTTCACGCTACCAGTCTGCGATTTTTTGATACTGCTCGCTCCCTTTGCTCTTTAACGCAGGCACAAGTTGATTGGTTTTTGCCGATCAACCATCAGCCGCTGAGTGCCTCATTGCTAGGGCTTCGGCGCGGGAATGTTGCTCAGCATTCCCCATCAACACTTGTCACGCTTGCACAGAGGATCAAGAAGTGAGCACTGACACTGGGAAAAATGACATACAAAAGCCTGGCTTATCTTTTGTATAGCACAAACATCTGTGAACATCCTTTTTTAACAGAAAATCCTGCAGTTGCTTAATTAATTCCCATATGTAAAAAATCTCTAGACCCACACACACACACACACACACACAGACACACACACCTGCTACTGAACTCTCTAGGGAGAAAGAACAAGCAGGAAGTGTGTTCCTCTTTCATCAGAGGGGTGAATCGCAGTCGATTGCTACATGTGAACTTACTTAAACACTTAGGAAAATCCTTTCAGGAGTCTAATTGATCCTGAGATTTAAACTCAAGCACATGAGTAACAGATTAGCATGTTTACTACTACGCTCCGACAGACGCCTTAAAAGGGATTTTTATAATAAAGGTTAAGAAGTCTGCCCAGGCTGTCGGGTCATCATATGCAGACACAACGGCACGTTTCTAGAGGGAAGATGCAGTCCGAAAATCTGCCAGCTGGTGCAAACAGTTTAGCTTTTTAATTCTTTAGAGCTAAAACAATCAATCTGTAACTATGTTAATAATTATTGAATCGTCTGGGCTTCATCTGTATCTAAATTTAAAGATCTCCTCCAGACATGTTTTAAATACTTGTAATAGTCATTTTTTTTGTCTATGTCTAATAAAAGTTCAAACTCTTGCACTTACATTGCACTTACTCCTCCCCAGAACCTGTGAATATGCAAATGTTGTTCATTTCTAAAGTTTAACTACTGGACAAAATATGTCTCCTAGTTTACTGAAGTCCATTCTCAGTGTTGGTGCACTTGTAAGTTGCATACCAGACCACAATTTGCCTCCTCACTAATTGTTCCCCTTTCAGCAGATCAATGTGAAATAGTCTCATCATTCTGCACAACAAATAAGTTAAGTAAGTATTTTTGATCAGAGGGGCCTTTAATGTATTGCAGTTATTCAATTATAATTATTTGTTAGTGTTACTGTCATCTTTAAAATATATATATATTGTTCTACAGTAACACATCCTGCTTTAATATATTGTATGTCTCTTGTCACCACAAGTGTGAAGAATCTGTCAGAAAAACAAAAAAATGGCTGATATTTGGTTACCAGTTGATCTATTTGTTGTTCTTTTTTTGGATGTTGGTACTGCTTCTTAACATCAAACAAGGACATAGAAGTGTCGCACAGCTCAGCAGTGCAAAGACGAGGTGAGTGAATGATCCTGGTTCAGTATGTAGACAGAGCTGGATGGACAATATTTGCCAATATTTGCTTATTGCAGATATATCAGTACTGGAATATATGTCGACGACGAGAGTTACAAGAAACAGTGCAGGAATACTAAACTAGGTTTGAGGTAATTTAGAAAAAGTGTCTCCACTAAATAGCTTGTCCTCCAGAGAGAAAGTGGATTTAGTGGAACTAGAAAATGTCCCACTTAATATGTTAAAAAAAAAAACACAACTCAAAAGCATCCGAATCATGCTTGTCATGTTAAAAAGATGTTCTATCATCCCAATTATCAATATCAGTATCACACTCAAAAATCCAGTATGGATAAACAACTCGTGCATTAGTGCTGAAATGTTCAGCAGATTATGAATCGACAACAATTTTGATAATCTGTTAATCGCTCGAGTCATTTATGAAGCAGAAATGCCAGAGGTTCTCTGATTCAAGCTTCTCAAACGTGAAGATTTGCTGCTTCACTCCATTTGTGTCACTGTACATTGAATATCTTTTTGGTTCAAGACAAAACAAGCAAACTGAAGACTTCGGTTCTGAGAAGGCGTGATTGACATTTTCACTGTTTTCTGACATTTTATAGTATACGTGATCATTCGAAAAGCTAACCAACAGATTTAGATTTCAACAATGAAACTAATTGTTCGCTGCAGCCCTCTAATGACTGAAAGAACAAAACGAACAAGCGAATGACTCAGCACCACTGTGACTAACCAAGATTTTAAACTCTAAGAAAAGTGACAGTAAGTAAACCGCAGGAAAGTTTGAAAGTTTTGACCTAATAAAGAACAAAACCAATGTACTGGAGGTAGTTTAACATGCTGCAGTATTGTACATACTGTCCGTATTGTAGTGTACTGCATGTATTTACTGTAAGCTCAATAGGAGTGCAGTGAATTTAAAGGGCTCCATTGAGGGGGTTTGGTTACAACACGTAACCAGAGCCCACAAACCCAGGCCTGGGGTAAAAAAGCCTCATTCATGCAAAGGGAGCACTGGAGGGAGAGAGGCCTACAGAATAATTTGACCTCTAAAATTCACCATCCCATCTGCCTCCTGTGATCTACGTGATGTGCTGTTGCCAAATGATTGAAGCACGAATGAGAGAGAGGACTGGTGAGAGGAGAAGAGGGGCAGTGAAAAAGAAAAGAAAAAAAACGAGGGAGAAAGAGAGATGGTACAGCTGCAGGTGGACAACAGATGTTGAGTTTTTTTTTTTCTTGTTTGTGTTTTTTTTTTTGCGAGGCGATCTCGGCACATAAATTCTTGTTCTCCCATTCAAGCCCCGTCTGTGCATCGCTCCACCTCTCCAACACCATCACTCTCCTCCTCCACCTTCTTCTTTCACTGCGACTTGAGCCAACTGGCCTGATTAGAGAGAGAGAAAGATGTAAAGAGAGGATGTGAGCGAGCGAGAGGGTGTATGTGTGTGTGAAAGACAGACAGATAGAGAGAGAGAGAGAGGATGGGGGATGAATAGGGGGGGCGTTGCTTATTACACCCCTCATGTATGCTGCAGGCTTAGACAAATAACGTGTGAACAGGCATCCATGAAAAATGAAACAGTGGACAAATGCATGAACAAATATGCGCACACACGCGCAAAAACACACTCTCTCACACACACACACACACACACACACATACTCACACTCTCACACACACA